CGGTGGCTTTTCGGGTGCGCTTCAAGGTGTTGATTATCATCTTTAAAGCGCGCCATGGCATCGGACCTGGTTATCTCCGAGACCGCCTTCTGCCACAGATTACCTCTCATCGGCCGATACGCTCCCACAGAGAGGGTCTCCTCAGGGTGCCGTCAGTCAGACAGTGCCGGCTGGCAACCCCCAGGGGGAGGGCCTTCTCGGTTGGAGCCCCCTCCCTATGGAACGAATTACCCCCAGAGATCCGGGTCATTCCGGATCTCCCCTCCTTCCGCCGCACCCTCAAGACATGGCTATTCCAGCTAGCGGGACTGGCCTAAGGGATATTTTAATTCGATTTTAATTTGATTTTAATTTGGTTTTTAACATAATTTTAAAAAGAAACGGCCAAAAAAATCAATATTTCATTTTAATTGTATTTTAAACTTAGTATTTTGTATGGTTTGTTTGTTTTTTAACTTGCTGTAAGCCGCCCTGAGTCCGCTAGGAGAAGGGCGGGGTATAAATTGAATAAAACTAAAACTAAACTAAACTTGAAGAGATTCTAACTTTTGGTATGCATAGTGATTCTGATATTACCCTGTTTATTCCAGATCAATCCAGATTATTTCTTCTTTTTCAGAATATATTGGCGGTAAAAATTGCTTCTTAGCAAAATTAATACATATTTTATAATGAGCATCTTTGATTTACTATGTCACAAAATGTGGCATCACCTAGCTCAGTGGTAGGCAACCTTGGCTCTTTTATGACTCGTGGACTTCAACTCCCAGAATTCCTGAGTCAGCCAGCCCGACCTAGCTGATCTTGGCTGATTTTTTAAAAGTAGGGTCACTGATGATAGAGTAAGAAAGGGCCTAAAATTTTTCTAGTCCAACCCTTGGCTTAGTCCTGGATCCTGTGGAACAAGTCCTCAAACTGTGTCCTACAGAACCCTAGGACACCTTAATGGGTTCCATTAGAGATTAAGGGGTTGAAAAGCGTTCATTTGAATGCAGTCAACTTTCTTCCACTAAATCTTTGCCTAGAATTTTTCTTAACTAATAGTTTCTATAATTTGAAAAATGTTGAAAACCTCTATATTAGAGCATTTCTGAAAGATGATTCTCAACCCTTTGATCAGATAATCTAGTGCAGTGTTTCTCAATCTTGGCAGCTTGAAGATGTGTGGACTTCAACTTCTAAAATTCCCTACCAGTCATGCTGGTTTGGGAATTCTGGGAGTTGAAGTCCACACATCTTCAAGCAGCCAAGGTTCAGAAGCACTGATCTAGTGAGTGAAAACTTATTATGTCATGGGATAGCCCATTAAATTGTCTGATACAGTCTGGAAGTTTCTTCCAATAATTGGTATCTACTCCTTTGTTATACTTTTAACCTACTGCTTCTTGTCCTGCTATCTGGGACCACAGAGAATTCATCTACTGCCTCTTCTGTATGACAGCCCTTCAGATATTTGAGGACTGTCGTCATAGCTACTTTTTGTTATCTCTTCAATAGGCTGAACATTCATAGAGATTTTCTCCTTTCTTCCTTTCACTTGCTGTTCAAATAGGAGCTATGAGTATAGGAAGATTTCCAAGTTGCAGGTTTCTTCCAGGAAATGCTATGCTGCTGTTGACTGAATAAACCATTCAATTTATTCACTATTGATTAAAAAACCCCAAGACATTTATATTCCTACAGTTATTAAAGTAATATAATGTTGAATTTCATATTTTTTTTAACCATAGATTTCAGTAAAACTCATGACATTCTACCTTCTCATAATGCTCAATGAGAATCTCAACCACAATATTCTGAAACTTGATGTTCATCATAGCGGCCACTGTTTCCTCCTGGGCTCTCATCAATGTGGGACCAAAAATAACTCCAAGATTGGAGACTGTCATGAGATTCTGCTGACTATGTAACGATACCCTGAAAATAAGCAATTAAAATAATAGTAGAATTTAGATATCATGCACTAGCATTTCATTTCCATTCAATATAACTGGACATTGCATTTATGTCTATATTAAGTAAAAGGTGTAATTTATTTTGATAACATTCTTTGGAAAGACAGAAACTATTTGCTCTTTGGAGAGGAATATACTGTTGTAGGAATTTTGGAAACAGGCTTTCCTATTTAATAATTTAAATATTTAAATGATTTAAACATTCTACATATTTTAAGCAGAGCTTCAAATATTTAATAGACTTTGTTAATTCCAGTTTTCCTCCAAAGCTATTTTCTCATGGAATAAAATTTCTGCTGATTAACACAAATACTAAGCAATGCATCCCATGTACACTGCCTCTAAAAAACAGGTTTCTTCTCAATAAATATAAATCCAATATAACCCTTTCTTTTATATGTGAAAGGGAAACACTTTTTAACTTTTTTTTTCCTAGCAAAAAGAATCACAAACAAATGTAGCTGGCAGGGCTTAGCTGAAATTAGAATATATAAATACCATTTTTCCAAAATGCTAATGGACATCTATTCAATTTATTGCCACCAACGGTTTACCTAATTCAAATCAATTCACACAAGCCAGTTCCAAACACCAAAACTTTGTAACATGATCACAGGAAAAGTCACGCCTATCCAGAAATTTATAAAAGATTTGTTTTAGACTATAGGTCGACCTTGACTTATGACCGATCACTTAGCAACTGTTTAAAGTTACAATGGATCCGGAAAAAGCTACTTATGACCTGGATTTGAAGTTCCAACAACCGACTCCCCCTGGTCATATGGCAGCATTGTGGGTGCTGACCCGCATTTACCGCCACTTGCAGTGCCCTGCAGTCACGTGACCATGATTTATGATGTTTTTGCTGGAAACCAGTACTTATTTCCAGTTTCTGGGGGAAAAAATCCTCATAGCGAATAATAGATTCACTTAACTAGTGTGGTATTTGCATAAAAAAGGTAATAAAATTGGGTCTGGTCAAGAGGTAACCTGCTTTATGACTGTCATGATTTACAACCAAAATTGTGGGCTCAATTACAATGGTATGTCAAGGCTTATCTATATGGTTCAACATGAAGCTTCTAATCTTATTGGATTATTCATTCACAGCTCTACTTCATCTTAGGATGCAATACCTGGCCCACTTTCTCAAAATTACTCACTCTTTGATATGGCGCTTTCTTGAAAACGTACAGATGGTCAATTTGGAACATGTCCCCAGTAAATGGTACTTATGGATTTAGCAAATGAAAGGATAAGATAGGAAATCCTTTACATCAACCCCCCCAACCAGATGATTTGCAGATATCTTGTTCATATAAAAATTGCATGTTATATTTGTGTAAAAAAGTCTTCCCGGTTCAGTCGTGTCAATTCTAGGGCACAGTATGCATCTCTGTTTCTTGGCCATGGGAACCAGCATTGTCCAAAGACGCTTCTGTGGTCATGTGGCCAGCATGGCTATATGCCAAAGGCACACAGAATGCTATTACCTTCCCACCAAAGTGGTGCCTATTAGTCTACTCTCATTTGCATGCTTTCAAACTGCTAGGTGGGCAGAAGCTGAGGCAAGGAATGGGAGCTCACCCTGTCACATGGGACTTGGGTCTTGAACCCGAGCTGTCACCTTTCTAGCTGAGCAGCTCAATGTCTTTAACCACAGAGCCCCCCACCCTTTATAGGTGTAATCTAGCATATGTTAAGGCACCAACCCCCAGGCTGCAACCCAGTACCAGGCTGCAGCCCGTTTGGAACTGGGCTATGGAAGTGGCAGGCGAGCACGTGAGGGTACAACTCCATTTGTGCGAGTGGTATGTGTGTATGCGTCCATTTGTGCAAATGGAGCTGCATACACACTTGCCTGCCACTCGCACGAAACCATCCTCTCCACCCCACCAGTCCGCAAAGGATTTAGTTAAGGAGCTCCTAAATTAACCCTAAATCCCTAAATTAAGGAGGCTCTTTTCATTACTGAGAGTTGTATGTGTGGATGCATCCTATATTTATATATTTATTTCTTCTCTGGAACATTTGTCACCTGGACTCATTGTGGAATTCATATCTCAGAGTAAGTTGTCCTACACATTGGACACACTTGATGCAGGGTGCTGTTCTTGGTGATAATCACCAAGAACAGCACATATGAAGGAGATAATCTCCTTCATATTAAAGCAGTTCCAAATTTCATAAGCTAACCCTATTACATATTATTGAATACAATATTTAAAGTTGGAATAGTTTATTGCTTCATATTGTTTAAAGCAGACACATAACTTTGTATGCAGCTAGAATGCCTTATAAAGATTTTCATATCTTGACTAATAAAAGAATATTGAGTAAGTAAAGTTAAAACAGTTTCCATATTACTGTAATTTATTATCTTAACAAGAAAAGCTTAGGCTACCTTGGTGACAAATTGAATCTTTTAGATAACAAAAGTGAGGCTGATATTGCCTTGACAAATAATAACTGGACATAATTTTTTGAAATGGGAACTAAGGTTTAGTTTCTTGAAGAAATTTTAGAAAATAGCTTTTTCATAACACTAATGAGATAGAAATGTTATTGTAATAGTTTGATTTTGGGATAATGAATATAAATAGGCTGAAATAATAAGAGAATGAAATTTATGTCATTACATTAAAGAAAATATCCATTTCCTGAAAGTCTACTTTTATTGTGCTATATTTCTGGATAAAATATTGTCAATCTTTTATTTTTTTTGTATTTTTATGTGACAGCATGGGCAAATTTTCAATGGATAAAATACTAGATCTGCTTAGTAATTCTTTGATCAACAAACGACACCTGAAAGTCATACTGTGAGCTTTTCCTAGTCCTGGTTTAGCACCTTAACCACCACACCAAAGTAACCCTGATAGTTTCAGTTGCATCTTTTATTGTATTTGGCTGCCAGAGATCAAAAATACATAGTCATGGGAAGAGAAATGGAATGTGTGAATCCAATGACTGGATATCATTGCTTATTGCTGAAAATTTTTGATGAACACACGTTAACCACACAAACATTTATATAGAGTTAAATGTAGGGACTGTTAATTGAAATCCATTTGAGAGTTAATCTAAGACAGAACTGACTTCCTTATGTTCCATTATTTCATTCCACCAAGAAATGGTTATAAACATCAAAGGCAGATCCATATCCAGATGTTCTTTAAGTAACGTTTTTGAAAAGCTAAAAAACACAAACACACACACACACACACAAGAATTTTCAAACAAATAGCAATGTGTCCACCTAAATTGCAACAGGAACAAGAGACATAACTGGCATCTTAAGTTAGAGTTTTTTCAGATATATATGAAAAGATGAATGGTCAGTCAGCCTGGAGTAACCTTCTACAAAATAATTCTTTGCCAGAAAAGAAATATGTAAACAGATCATGGAAAGGATGCTACTTCGCATTGGGAACTTCCCGGGGGTGCTAATTAATAAATACATTTCCAGTCATGAATACTTATAACCAGTGCTTTTTTTCTAAAAAAAAAAAAAGGTGCCGGAACTCACACACGTCATACAACCCGCCTTGCCTACCCTACAAAGTTCCATCAAAAAAAGATGCTGGAACTCTGTTCTGGGCGTTCTATGAGAAAAAAAGCCCTGCTTATAACTGTTGTTTTGGGATATGATTTAAGGCAGCAGCACTAAAGTTCCTCTCTTTCCTCCTATGATTATAAACAACCCACATAAAAAGCAATTATTACTTGACCAAATGCTTTATCAGGATGTCCAACATCTCCCGGTTTTTCTCTGGCAACTTGTGGACAAGTGCATGGACTGCTTCCACTCTGTAATTCTGGTCATCAGACTCTGTTAAAAAGATAGTAACAAGAAGAATAACCCAATGAGGTCTCCTGTATTAAGTGATTTCAAACAGAAGCTAGGTCCTGTCTGAGATGTTCTAGCTAGTGGATCCTATGCTGAGGAAGGCATTGATCAAGATGATCTTTAAGATTCCTTCCAATTCTAAGAATCTATATAAATCTCTGCTACTTCAATCATCATCACTACATCACATGCTACTTATTGTCAGGAACAAAAATGGAATGCGTGGTGGCACAGTGGTTAGAATGTAGTATTACAGGCTAATTCTGCAGATTACAAGGGTCAAGGTTGACTCAGCCTTCCATCCGTCTGACGTCAGTAAAATGAGGACCCAGATTGTTGGGGGCAAATATGCTGACTCTGTAAACTGCTTAGAGAGGGCTGTAAAGCACTGTGAAGCGGTATATAAGTCTAAGTGCTATTGCTAAAGATTTCTTTAAACAAACAGAAACTGACAAAGGATGTCACCAGACGTCTAAGCACTACTGATTTTTCACCACACAGAAATGCATGAGGCCCTCCACAAATAGAAAGTTATGAAATAGAAATGGATAAAATAGTCATATGAATATCAAAAGCTACCAGCAGGAAGGGGACAAAAGAAGGCATGATTAGCAAATGGGACATATAGATGAAAATGCTGAACTCACCTCCCACTCCCATTTTTGTTATGCTGCAGCCTGATTCTACAATTGTTGAAATTATTTTTTTTCCTCATTAATCTGTACTCAGTAGCCCATAATAACAAAGTGAAAACAGCATAACAAAACTGAAGGTCTGAATACTTTGAATGCAGTGTGTGTGTGTATGTATACCTACATCTATAAAGAAACCTGAATTCTTAATATGTATATTATATATAGTTTGTCCCAACAACAGGATTATCATCCATTTTTTTCACTTACTAACAGCAATGATGAAATCCTTGTGTAACTTGAAAGTCATGAGTGGCTCTGCAAGACACCTGAGGAAAAAAATTAGTGATTGAAAGAGGCTGAATGTAGTATTTTGAAGATATTCACATTTAATTCCAAAGCAGACATTAGCCTTAGTTCCATTCTAAACTCGCATGCATGGCTGTGAGTTATGGATAGTACTACTGAAGCCTTAAATAGTCACACAGCTAGAAGGAGAGATCTATATAAATAAAAATGTAAATGTTCGTTTGTTCAAAATCTTAAATCTCCGAAAGTTCTTCACCGATTGCTTTGAAATTTTGACACAACGTTGCATTCGAATACACGCGTGTTTTTATATACCTATATTATATAGATGTCACACCTGTGACAGGTAAAACATGCTTTTTTTGAAAAACAGTGCCATCTGTTGGACATAAAAGCAACACACGCTACGATTTTACCATTCCATTTCAATGTTTCCGATTTACGATCCATTTACGATTTCCAAATTTCCAATTTTACGATTCCATTTCAATGTTTCCGATTGCATTGTTAAATTGAATTTTCATAGATTTCGATTTATTTTCATTTTGATTTAATTATTTCGTGTGACATTGCGTTGGAATTGATGCACAGACAATAGAACAACAAAAAATATTGTATACCCACAAGCATTGTGAAATTAAACATATTAGAAACGTGCGCTTTCTCTTTTCTTTCTTTTCCATTTAACCAGACTGAGCCACAGCAACGTGTGGCTGGGTACAACTAGTGATAAATAAAAGCTTCCTGCAGCCTTCTTCAAGCTGGTGACCTGCAGATGAGTTGGACTACAGCTTTGCTCTTTCCCAGCTGTATGATCTTCAGAGGACCTTACATGGGGGAAGGATGCTCAAGGAAACATAGGAGACAAAATTTTGTGACTAAATCATTCATAGTTCTCAAAGGTAAAGACCTTCTCACATCAAGTTTGGCTCCTTGAGACCATGTAATTTTCCTGGCCATAGCACAGTAGTGATATATTATTGCCATTTTTAGGTTGTTTTTAGCCTATAGATCTGGGATTTCTAGTGATTTCTCATCAAGTCCTAAATGGGTTTGATTGCTTTGCTTGTTTAGAGACTAATGAACATTAGCTTGATGCTGCAAGGGGCTATCTTCTATGATTTCATTGAATTATGGGAAGAAGAAGGAAGTTTAAGATTCCAAAGGTACAACTTCCCTAACTAAATTCAGTCTGCCTCCTTATTTTTGATAACCTTTAGTAATTTTTCCTTTGATTAGGGTTAAACTTCTAAAGATGTTTAAATTAAAGAGAAGTACTTAAAGAGTCAAACCCTCAGGTGATCCTATCAAAAATACTGCTCCAATCAGCAGTTATTACAAAAAAACTGTAGAAGTAATTCTGATAGCTATGCAACCTGAAATCCTTTTAAGTTTGTTCTAATAGTCCCTCTGAATGTCTGAGCTCTTAACAACTTTTCCAGTACATTTACAGTCAAATTTGATAGGACTCTACACTCCAATATTTGGAGGACTCACTTAAGTGAAATCAATATTAGGTTGTCTAGAATGCAAGACAATGCATTCAAGACTGATCTGCTTTCTGAATAAATATATACCTTCATTTTTTTCATTCCTTAACAATGCAACTTCCTACATTACTGGATTTATTAAACAAATGAGATACTTGTACTTGTTTTATGTGATTCTAATAGCCAATTAGTGAACCATGCTGTGCAGTTTTGATCAAATAAATTAACTAGTTAAAGAAATTTACTGCCCAGTGTTGTAAGCATTAGATATCAACTAAGAAAAGCTCAATTTAAAATGGAAACATTCACAATACACTGAAAATAAGACAACTATATCAATGGCTATGAACACCGTACTATGCTCTCTACATTACAGTAGGGTTTGAAGAGTATAAGCCAGAGATACTGACAAGCACTTGCCCTAAGACATTGGAATTTTGCATGACTTATGCTTACCTGAGGTAGTTCTTTAGCCCACTTGTTATAGTTTTATTGTCCCAAATTTCCAAATCAATGTCCATATCAGGAGGAGATTTAGGCGCTATTAAAAGAGAGAGCAGTTGGATGAATCCATTTCCC